ATATTCTACATATATAAGTCTAAGTGCTATTGCTATTGCTACATGAAATTTTTCCTATTTTTTTATTCATTTTTTTTATTTGGGAGATGTGCCAAGAATACCATAAACCAATTCCTATTCTGGACATCTTACTTTCAAAAACCTGTTCGATCAGAGACAGAAGATTCTGGACATTCTTAGTTTAGCAAGGCATTGGGAACAGTTACCAAATGAAACTGGTGGAGGAGCTGTTGTAGTAGCTATGCTAGCTATATTTTTGCTAATGTGCTTCTTGCTATGGCTACCATATATGAACCCAGTGATAGAAGAAAATTAAAGGGCATTCCCAGGGTGCCAAATGAACCCTGCTAGATATAGGAGTTTGCAACTACTCAGCAGTCAGGTTGACAAAAGGAGGGAGTAGAAAAGATGACAGCAAGAAACATGGCATTTGTTCAAATGTGCCAGGTGGAGATGCCAATATGTATGACTAATGACATCCATGTTTAACATCTCTTAATAGCTTAATTATTTAAATTTATTCAGTAACAATGCCACAAATTTGTACAAAAACTACAGGGGATTTTTTCCCCCTTTTTTGGAAGATGAGGCAAATGATCACCGCTCTGGCCACCAGGTATATTGCAGTTTAAAATTGCAAACATTTGAAGATGAAAATGAATACAGTGCCATTTTTAAAGCTTTAACAACAAAAAAATGATCCTACTTTCAGATCTGGAGTCCTCAATATGCAATAAATGATTTCATTCTAAATAAAAAGCCACTTTTGTTTTTCAAGGGTCAAATCCCTCATTCTCTTTTACTTAATGAATATTAAAATAAAACTCAAGTTGATGCTGTCTGATTTCTTTTTTTACAAATCCTATCATAGAAACAAAGATTTTGTTTGCAAATTCTACCACAAGCAGGGAAAATCCAAAGAAATGGAACAAGATCAAGATTAAAAGCTGAAGAGTTGGCTATAACAAATAAACCATTGCTTTTTCATTATTTTTAGTAAAGCTAGCCAATGCTAAAATATTAACCGGGGGGAAAAAACACTGAACAGGAACAGGTGCATTTAATTATTGGGGGGAAAACTCTCATTATTTATCTGGACAGCACCTGAGAAAATCTACTAAATTTCATCCATTAAAATAACACTTTTTACAAATGTTGAAAATATTATGATGGACATTATCAAAGAGACAAGGAGATATATAATCATATGTTTGGAATTTGAACCAGTTTGCATTCAAAACATTTCATTTAAAGTTAGAAACAGTTGTTTCAAGTGTGAAATAGCTGAGTTAGAAGAGGGGATGTTTTAATTATTTTAGAAATGTTTTGAGTGCAAGATAGAATATCTGATGCTCAAAACAACTTCAGACAGTAAATTCATTCAAATGGTTTGAAATGTTTTGGACACCACTAAAGAACATTATAAGTACCAGATCAGATGTCAATTGCTGATTTTCATAAAGCTATTAAAATTC